GGCTGTGCGGGCCGTGCGGGTTGTGCGGGCCGTGCGGGTTGTGCCGGCCGTGCGGGTTGGGTGGGTCATGCGTGCGGGTTGGGTGGGTCATGCGTGCGGGTTAGGTGGGTTGGCTCGTGCGGGTTGGGTGGGTCATTCGTGCGGGTGGGCCGTGCGGGCTGGGTTGTGCCAGGTGGGTCGGGTTAGGTGGGTTCACGGGCTAGGTGTGTCGAATTAAATGAGTCAAAACGGGTTGTGCGATTTGGGTCGAATCAAACGGGTTAAACTGAGCTGGGTTGAGATGGGTTGTGTCGAAAATTTTGGACCCACGACACAACCCGGATTAAATCCGAGCTGTGCCGGATTGAAACCGGGTCGGACCCACGTGACCCACCAGCCGTGCGAGTTAGGGTGGGCTGGGTCCAACCCGGCCCACTGGCCACCTCTAAATGCAACATATCTTCTTTGCACATATTTTAAGGAATAAATTAAGCAATGTAGATAGACAAATTATTCAAAATAATTTATACAAGCAATATTTGAATAGACGCATTTACAAAAGTGATTTTTTTACACTGAAATACGAATCTAGACACTTAATAATAGAATGAAGGGAGTATATATATATATATATATATATATATATATATATATATATATATATATATATATATATATATATATATATATATATATATATATATTTTTAATTTTAAAGTTGGTTCGGCGATCCAACTAGTGTTATAAATCGTATTTTTGACATTATTCTTTTGGTAATGTCAACTAAAATGTCAAAAGTTATACTCTTCTGTCTAGCTTTTTATTTATTTATTTATTTAACAAATATGGAGTACATAACATCAATTTAATTAAATAAAGGTATACTTTCATCAAAACTACGATCGATCGCTAAAAAGATGTTGTAATGTAAACTATCTTCCGCACGTATTGCTATAATATACATCCATTTCGGAGAGACGATGTAGCAATATGTTGTAACCGCAATCAAGGATGAAATTAAAATATTGATATCAGATGAAATTTCGCTTAACTCTTTAGCAACAAACCAAATTCACGATTCTCCATCAATACTAAACTAAAAACAAAAATACTCGTCCTGTGTTTTTAATGGTGGTGCAGAAACTTTTACAGATAATATCTTTAAGAAACAATAAATATGAGTTTTAAAACTTGATATTTAAATACTATACATTGTGACGATTCTAATAAGTATCCGAATTATGTATTTAATTTTACGTAAATAGTATAAACATTGATCAAAGTAGTGTATGTGAATAGTGCAAAATTAAAGTCAATTGGGGCATTTAAAAAACGCCAACGGCTCAACTAATCCCACCATAAGGGAACTTACTATACTCAAATGACGTAGTTTTATTGAAATTAATGAGAAAAACATGAATAAAGGGTCGGAAATAGCCAAAATTTCTTAGAAACTTGATTTTCTTTGTCTTACTTCGCACTCTATATAATATACGAAGTAGTGTTTTGTTTTCCTTTTTCAATATCTAGAAATGTTTTCTTTATATTTGTTCTAAAGTTTTATTGGAGCACTAAGTGTACATAATTTTAACTTAAAACACTTTAACTTTTTTTTTTCTTTAACACTTTCATATAAAATATCCCTTCATTTCCCTAATTTTTTTTTGTCATTATTTACATTTTTTTTTTTTGCTTTTTTCATACATAATACTCATATATGAATAGAATATCCTTACTTGAATAAGCTTTTCATCCTTTTTTTTTTTTACCCATTTAAATTTTCTAGGTCTTCAAGACATATTTTTAAACGTTTTTTGTCTCTACATAAGCGTAAAAATTATAAACGTGATATTTATTAAATATACAATTAGAAGAATCCAATAAGATTGTTAGATGATTTAGAGTGTATGAGAGAAATTGTGATCATTTGATTTATTTCGGATGATTTAGAGAGTCAGAGTGGAGCGCCCGCGCCAATGTTTAGCGCGCCCGAGCAAGGTTGGCGCGGCGAAAACCGTGTCAAAATCGCGCCAACTCTCTAGAAAAATGCAAAATTCTCGCAGAATTGGGTACCGCGCCCGCGCGGCCTGGTGGCGCGCCCGCGCCTATTTGTGTCGCACCCGCGCTGCTTCCTTTGTCTGCGGTTTTTTGCGGCTATTCTCTCGGCTTTTAATATCTTTCGTTTTAACGAAAAGAGAGAGAGTTTTTCATTTTACAGAATTCTTCCCAACTTTTCTCCACATTTTCTCTCAAACTTCTTGCAAACTTTTGTGAGAAAAATTCTTGAACCTTAGCCATCTTTGTGATTTGTTCATTGTATTTCGTTTCTAGTGCTAAAAACGAAATTGGCTGTCAATTGTATCTCAAAGAGGATTTCCGGTTTAACCCAAGCACCGTGTGGGGGAAATAAACCTCTTTAGGAAAGTGTATACACGCCTTTGACAGTGTATCAAGGTTTGAGACTTACGTGGTCATCGATATTCTCATGTTCATGCTTGGTGTTGTCGGCTTGGAGGAAAGGCAAGTTTGATTCTTCACACTAGTGTAGTCTTTGTAAATTTTCAGTAATTTCATTGACAATTCTAATACTTGATTGTAATACAATGTTTTGTATTTGATATTTACAATTTAGAATTGTAATCATATATTTTAGGTTTTGTTCCCACACAAATATTTAAGTGTTTTTCTTATTGAATTCATTGAAAACCTAACAAAGATGCTACAAGACTATATTATCTTTAAAAAATAACGAGAATGTATGGTCAAAGTTATTGAATTTGACCCAAATATTGACAATGGGGCAAAAATAGGGACCGAGGTAGTATCGTTAGTTCATTGATAAATGGGAAGTAGTAACAATATTATGAGACATAGTGATTATATTGGTACTTATTCCTAATGCTTTTTTTTTTGTTATACTTTAACCGACACATAGTTCTAGGCAATTTGATAGACTTAAATATAATAAGTGGAAATTGGGATAGTTGGAGTACTAACAAATTGTAAGAGAAAGATGGTAGGGTTAATAATTTATTGAAAAATAATTTATGTGAGAGAAAAGAAATAATAGAAAAGGTTGTAATGAGTTTGGGTGGAGACCATGAGAGGAAACAAATATAATATTACAATGTAGTTTTTACCATAAAAGAAAGTGTAACACTTAAAAAAAGTAGCCACATTTGATAATTGTAACATTTATAAAAAAATCATAGGTAGGATATAAAGATAATATATAGATGCTAAAAAATCTAGAATTTATCAATAACTATTTACTTAAAGATACACCAGCAATAACATGTGTCATTTTTGGTGTGTCCCTTAGTTTTTTAAATAAAAGATTTGATATGTCTTTCAATAATATATATATATATATATTGACAACTATATAAACTTAAGTAAAAAAAAAATAGTAAATCAGATTTTTAACATAAATTGTGCCAAAATGTTATGTACTACTTATTACTACAATAATTTTATTTTATTTATTCAATTATATGTTAAAAAGCTCCAAGAAAGTAATTTGAATTTCAAATAAAAAGTAGTTAAAATAAAAGATTTGATGTATCCTTCTACAAATAAATATTAACAACTATAAATTTAAGGAAAAAAATTAGGTTCTTAACATAATTTGTGACATACATACGGACTACAGAGTATAATGTACAACATTTTAAGAAATTCATTTAGTTAACAACAAGAAAATTGTACCAATTTGTTGAAGAAATTAAATATATGAAAATATACATATTGTCAAATATGTTTTAAAAATAGCTATTTGGCTAATAGGCTCTTTTATAATATTCTAAATGCAATATAGGCTCTTTTATAATAAATTCATTAATCTGTATAATATTTTAGAAAAATTCATGTAATTTAAAGATAGTTATTAAAAATTACCGTGCATGACACGGGAGCTAACCTAGTAACTATAACTAAAGTAATTACCGATGATATCACTACTATCCACGTGTCAACCTTTCAAAAAAATAAATTGCCCGCCAAGATTATTGATGACATCATTATTTATTTTTTCAAGATAAATAAGGATTTGATGAAAATGATAAAGTAATTATATATTTTCCTAAAAGATTTTTTATTTAAATTGATTAACTACATAATATTCCATGTAGTGATTAGACTTTCATTTTCCTATAAAAAAATTCTTTTCTCCTACTCTGTAAATTATATAGATCGTATGAAGTTGAGTTCCACTCTTTATTAATTCATCAATTTATTATATTTTTCTTAAATCATTTATACTACGTATTACACACAAATAAACTAAAAATTTTATTGTTAAAATCGTGATTACTATATAAAATTACAAAAACATAAGGGAACAACATGCTACCGACATGTGTCATTCTTTCCTCAATATGATTTGGTGTCACATGAGCGCTTTGTATTACCTTATGGGTCTCACCCTTCCCTCACCATATCGTAGTAATGTTTAATCCCTTGAAATTACTTTCATTGAACTTGGTGTAACTTCTTTGTATTAATGTTTAGTTTACTTGAAAAACTATTCATATGTATAACCTCACTATTTAAATTTCCCTAAATATAACTCCTTAATAATTGTACAATAATCTATAATCTAACTTGTAAGAAATTAATCATTTTTATTTTGTGCATTTAATCTTAATTGCAAGATTTTTAAAAAATCATTATTATAATTCATTCACTTACTAACATAGTTGAACATTAGCCTTCTACATAAAATTTCATCAAACTTATGAATTTATAATGATTTGAGGCATCAATTGGGCCAATAACTAGTATTGTATCAATTAGAACGCCTAACATTTTAGTTACATTAACTAGCTCTACCAAAACATATTATACTAATAATCAACTATAACACCTTATTAATTTTGGGTACTACCTTTATTTCTACTGAACATTTAAGTTTTAACTCTATTTCAAAGAATGATGCCAAACATTGTTTGTTTTTTTGTTTGCTTTGCCCCTCTGCACTAAAAATAAATAAATAAATAAATAAAATAAAATGATGCCAAACATAACCCATAAAACCGAGCTATTAGCTCTGTAGTAGCCATGGTGTTTGGCTTCCTATCATTTTCTGTAACTGAGTTCAAGTGCTTGTTTTTCATACAGTAGTAAAAATACTTGTTTTTTACCCAAAAAACATTATCACAATCAGTTGCAGGCCTTGCAGCTGCCATGTGTCATTTACTTACGCGCTACATCAGCAGAGCATATCTAGATGTCGCAAGATACAGTTCACGAGTGTTGTCGATGTCAACTCCATTGGCCCAACACCATGTTATTCGAGGTCCATATGTTTCACTAAACGTTAAACACACTAATTGAAGTACTTAACTCTTCCTTAATATAGGATACCTTTTATGTTTTCACTTCACAAAGTTACTTGTAAATGTTAAAAAGATTAAGAAGAAATCAAGCCTAAGATAATATTACATTTCACTAAAACAAAGTTGCGAACACTAACAACAACCAATAACGAACAAAAAATTGGGATTAAAGAGAGAATAGCTAGAATAATTACGACAGTACACTCGAGCTCATGATTAGCAAGAAGAACATGAATAAGCAGAGATGGAGGGGAAATTGAAGGGATTCAGACGAAGACTGGCCATCAATTTCAGCAGAATCAACAGCGAGGGGCAAGCCATTGCTGCTAATGCTACATGATTGCGGATCAGCACCTTCGACATTCAGCATTAGGGCTCGCATGACTGAAGTAACTGTAGATATGTATGTGTCTCTGTCTTTGTGGAGAAGCCATGTCAACCCCATTAGTTCACAGTCTCTGCTGCGCATCTTACTTGTCCTTATGTCTAGTTTTGTTCCATTTCCACTTGCTTTGTTGCCTTTTTTAAGCTGAATGTAAAAGGAGGCAAAATTAGCTTACATCTAAATTGAAATAATCAACATCATGATGTTATTATGAGCCCTAAACTTCATTCTGGATTAAAAAAACGAGAATAATCTATCCACACAAGGCAAAGCCTCAAAGGCCTCGTGGTAAGAAACGGTCAAAGAATCATCAAAGACTGATTAAGGTGCTTTGCCTGGTTTTATTATATACTATTTAAGGACAATTAGAACATGATTAGTAGTGATTGCTGTGAAAAAGTACCAATCACAAAAGTGAGAGTACTCATGAAGTAAGGCTAAACTACATAAAAGAATTTGTATATTTAAATCAGTAAAATCTTTTAGTAAGAAAATAAATATAGACCAAATTCAAACAAGAAGAATAATAAAAATATGAAGTGTATGAAATCATAATAAATAAGTTCATTCTCTTGTCACGTAATCTTGAAGGGGAAGCATAGCATTTCTTCACATCATAATTTAAATATCATAAATGCCTGACTAGAGACTAGCAAGAGTTTCACGTGAAAACTTAAAAGAAACTTCAACAACCGAGAAAAGGAGAGGCCACAACATATATTACCTCAAATTTACTTCGTATTATCTAGAATAAAACGCTACGACATTAACATCAATATCAGCATCATCATTAATCCAATATACCTCCGAAGAGGCTCCTGCTTAATGCAACCTAAGAATGTAAGAGCAAGCTAGACGTACTATACACGCAGGATTACACTTGTGATCAGGAAGCCATATAAATCAACTCTTAAGTCGATTAGTCCAATTTACTAGCGATTAATTTACAGAATAGTAGGGACTACAGCATTTCATTATATATCTTCCTTGGTTTGATCTTCGTCTTTGATTTCACATCATCATTTGACAAGTAACTGTCACTATATTACAATTCCACCAGTGTTAGTTCTAAGATGTTTTCACAATAAATTAATTATGAATGACCAGCCAACATTAGCATTTAGTAGCCTTCGTATTATGAACATACCGTAGCACGTAGGAAGCATTATGGTATCAAATTCCAAATCGAAAACAGATCATCGATAATATGCAAGATTGGACACAACGAGAGACACAGATAACCATTCCATGATTGCATAATTACACCATTAAGCAGGCAAGCACACTAATTCGATCAGGAACATAAAGAAAAATGATCGTCTTTAGTAACCCTGTAATCCAGATTATAGCGTAATTTGAACAAATAATGCGTCCAATAAACCCAGAACAAGCATATAGTTATCCCTATCCCTATACATCTCATGAGTCACCTTCAGCCTTATCCATCAAACCGTTGATCCAACGGAAAAAAATGAAAAACAAACAAAAAAGAACAGAGACAAATTGAAAAGATATTTTCATTTATCAACTTCCCCAAATTCAAATGGTGCAAGATCAAAGTAAAATTTCAAACTCTATGATCAAATTAACTCCTCCATTTGTTTAACAAATTTGGGCTGCATTTGTTAAGAAGGACGAAAAGAAGGAATGTCACACTGTCAATTCATATTCTCATGTCTCACATTTTTCTCTTCCTCTATAATTTGTTTTTCCTTTCTACAATTTTGTAATTTCTTGAAAATTGTTTTCCACAGAAAATCATAACCTATTGAAGTCAACAAAACATTATAATTGACATTTCCAAAAACATTAAATTATTTCATACAATTAGTAAGTATAAACCCAAAAAAAAAGTAATTAAAATTATGCAACAAATCAAAAACAGAATCTGGGTAAAAGAGGATACCGAGTATAAAGAATGCAAGCACTTAGAACAGGTAGCAAGGGTAGAATGGTCATTATCCTTAGACTTATGAGAGCTCAAACAATCCTTCTCCAATTTCATAACTCTTTTATCACCAGCTAACCTCCCATCTTCAGAAACATGAAAAGCTTGAGGACAGCTCAATTGATGAAGTCTAATTCCACAATAACAATACACAACATCACAAGTCTCATTAATCTTAACCAAATTCACCCCTTTATCTTTCATCACTTTCTCAAGTCCATCAACACAAGTTTCCGAGTCATCAGGTAGCATTGGCAAATCGTATGTCGACGTCGCCTCGCCACTCCCCGCTCCTTTTCCAAGAGTTGTATTGGTGTAAGCGGAGTAAAGCCAGGCGGCGAGGACGGGGCAGCATTTTCCCCGGCGCAAATGCCCGCTATTACATGAGGCCTTAACGGCGGGAAAGATCTCATCGTTGAGTGAAAGCGGACAACCGGCAACGGCAGATTGTTCGGGGAAGGAGGGGATAGTTGCCGGAGGTGAGGGGTTAGGGAGGAAGGTTTGTTGTTGTTGGATGGAAGCAGGGTCAGGGTTGGGTAGGACGGGTAGGGCGGGCAGTTGGGGCAGGAGAGAGAAAAGGAGAGAGAAGAAAATGGGGAATGGTGGAAGATGGTGGTGGGACATTTCTTTAAGGAGGGTGAGTGAGAAGTTTTGGTGGTGATGTTTGTGGGAATGAAGAAGAAGAAAGTGAAGTGTAATGGAGGGAGGGAGGAACAAAAGTGGGATGTTAGTGGGATACTTGAAGTAATGTGATGAGTATTGCTGGGAAAAAAAGGTTGATGGTTAAATAAAGTGCCTAAAAGTTTGGTTGGGTTTTGGCTGTTAGGAGCATTGGAGGTGAATTTATCTTTTTACTGTACTGGAGAGTCTAGAGATGAACAACAACAATCTTGGCATTAAGTGTAGAGGAGTCAATGGTGTCTAGATCGGGTTTGGTGGGGTCGAGTAATTTTTTTTAAAGTTGAGTCATGCTAAATTGTTATGTCAATGCACGCCGAAATCTAAATCAGATATTTTTCATGTCAGTTTCGAATCGGGTTAGGTTGGGTGTGATTTTGATATTTGATACCTCGAATTAAGTGTAGGGGTGAAAGTGATATGAATTAAAATCGAACCAATCCAAACCGAATTAACAATTCTGTTTGGTTTTTTTTCGGAAATTCGGTTTCGGATTTAAAAAAAAATATGGATTGCGGATCGGTTTCGGTTTTGGACTTCCAAAAACCAAAAACTGAATTTATATAAAGCCCAATACCTAGCCCATATTTCCCTTCATATATAAATCAAAACCCTAATTTCTTTATCATCTTTTCCCTTTAAGCCTTCCTCACCCTTTCCCTTAGTTTCTTAGGTTTTCCCCCCTTTCTCAGAATTCTCACGCAGCCACCAGTCCTCCCTCACGGCCTTACCACCAATCTTCCCCCATGGCCTCACCAGCGATCCACCCCCCCCCCACGGCCTCACCAGTCAGGCAGTCACCACCGCTCCCACAGCTTGTTTCTTTTGGCCTCACCACCGCTCCCACCGCTTGTTTCTTTGGCCTTACCACACAACTCGTCTCTCACCACTTGTTTTTAGGTAATGTTGATGATGAATATGAAGTTGTTGATGAGCATTGTATGTCTTTTAATGTTAATATTAGTGGGCAAATTTAAGCCTTGTAATACAGTAATAGTTGATAAATAATATAATATAATTTTAAAGTTATTTGTCAATTTAATTTGTGTTATTTTCTCTTTTAATTATTTAGTTTGCTTAGTTTTTTAATTTTAATATGAGGTGAAAAATTCAGTTTATGGATCGATTACGGTTTGCTTATCAGAAATTCGGTTCGGTTTGGTTTGGACCGAATTTTATTTCAGTTCGGATTCGGATTGAAAATTTTGAAACCAAATTATTTCGGTTTGGGCCATAGTCCAAACCGAGCACCGAACATCCCTAATAAGTGCATCTTTTTGGCATTACTGTGATGTTTAGTTTTTGGGTTTATTTTGAAAATATAAAGTAGTCAAATTTTTTTGAATCATCATAATTTTGAAAACTAACAATTAAATCAAAACCACATATTATGGTTTCCTTTTTTTTTTTTTTTTGGCTCAGTTTGCATCATCTGATTTGTCTTAAATTATTTTATCTAAATTTATTTCATTATATCTTAACTTATTTTATTTTATTATAACTTATTTTCATTGGCAAAATTACACACATTGACACCAACTTTAGAGTATGTTAAAAACCTTGACACAAACTTGTATCACTTGTTGAATTGATACCAACTTGCTAAAAAATAAAATTGATATAAAAGCACTAAACAATCCGCTTCACTACAAATCAGTCATCTAATTTTTTTTTTATTTTTTTAACACATTGAGAACTTTGCAAACAAATGAAGGTTGAAAAGGAATTTTATAGTACTTTCGTTCCTGAAAGTTCGACTCACTTACTATTCATGTGGTCAAAATAAAATAACTTTGACTACATGTTATGATTTATACAATAGAAATAAATTAGCATGAGAGATCTTATTAGATTCCCCTTTTTATAAATTTCAAATATCAACTTTTTATAATTTCACTTACACATAGATAAAGATATTTATGGTCAAAAATGTTCATTGGAGACCACACAAATACAAAGTGAGTCGAATTTTCAGGAACGGAGGGAAACTTATTTTTTCGTTTTTTTGACGAAAAAAAAATACAAGTTTATGAGGAATTTTATACTTTTATGAGGGTTTAAAGTTAAGTTAAATTGGTTGTTCGGTATCATTTATGTCAATTTATTTATTTTAGTAACAAGTTAGTGTCAATCCAACAAATAAATACAAGTTGGTGTTAATAATTGCAAAACACCACAAAGTTGGTGTCAATGAGAGTAATTTTGCCTGTATTATAAAACTTATTTTATTAAAAAAGTTAAAACTAATAATCTCATATTTGTCTTATCTTTTCAAAACAATCCCACCTTTTAAATTCTAGAAACAACCCGACCTTATCACCCCCATCTTCTCAAGTTGAACCACTAACCGGATCTCTAAATAGTAAATAGTATAAGAAGGTTACTTGCCACATATGTTACCTTCTAATTGGTCCGATTTTATTTTTTAATAAAAAAAACAAAAACCCAACCTCTTATCTTCCCATTCCTGTTTCCCTTCCCTCTTCTGAATACCCCATCTAAACCAGCACCGCTATCGATCCTTACCGGACCATCCTTACCCCCTTCCACCCCGAACAACACCCCCACCCCTTCCCCGTTAAACGACAACCGGAGCTAGTGGTTGGCAGCAACCCCCTCTTCCCCCTGCCGGAGTTCCGGAGCAACCCCCTCCCCTTCACCAGTGAGTATGCTAGGGAACGTGCTCACAAAGAGGTAATGTAGAATAGAGAAGCAGAGCATAAGGCTGACAGAGATGTTAAGTAAAGAGAAAAGCTTAAAAATGTGCTAGGAGATCCAGTGTACCATTACCAAAAATTCTCATGAGAAGAGATTGTATCCGTTACCAACTCATTCAATGAAGAACTGAAAATTGGAGAGGGATCATATGAATTTGCGTATGAATGCAAGTTGCATTACTCAATGATGGCTATTTAAGTCCTATACTCTAAGGAGGGCGCCGACAGCATTGGCGGATCCAGGAGCTAGGGGTAGTACTAAACAATAAGAAAAAAATAGAAACAAGTTATTATATTATCGTTTAATTAATGATTAGCCTTTAAATTTTAAACATTTGTTTTGGTTGATAAATTATTATTTTACAAATAAGAAATAATTTATACATAGTATTTTAGTTATCAATTGTAATGATCAAATTAAAAAGTACTTCATCTGTTCTATGTTTGGTATCATATACGCCTTTTGAAAGTAATAGATTCTACTACTTAATAATTTTTTATAACATAAACAAGAGCCTTTGGAGAAAAATAATTTTTCTAAAAAAATTAGGTGAACACAAAATTAATTATGCACATATGTAAGTAGAAGTAAAAGAGGGAAACTAAGAGATCAGTTTTCATATATATAACCGGTCACTTTTAGTTTAAAAATAGAAAGAAAAGGAGAGAACTAACCTAAGAGACCGGTTTCTTTAGTTTAAAACAGAAAGCAACGTCACATTTTTGGCATTATCTATGGCAGCATCTAAGAGACCTGTTATCTATGATCAACTACTTTTTTCTGTCTTTTTTTTTTGTTGCCGGGGGGGGGGGGGGGGGGAAGCACGTGGTACCCCTTGTTCCTTCTTAGATTCGCCTCTGGCAATTCAAGCAATTTCATTAGGTTGTACCCTTATTTCCCATTTTACTCTTCTTAATAAGGAATTAAGATACTTCAATTAAATTTTGACTTAATTTCTCTTCGATTTTAGTTGAAGAATTTGAGTAGAATCCGTCATCCTTAATTGCTGGTGCTGCTTGGGGTATGCGAATACATGGAAAAGGGAAGTTTAGGTTCGGTGCGGCAGGTCTTAGACTGGTGGGATTTTGGTTCGATGTGGTGGGTTTCGAGGTGAGGTGGGTTTTCGGTTTGATGGGGCGGGGTTTCAGTTTGGAGGGGAGGGGGGTCAAGTGGAAGGGGGTGGAATTTCGGGGTGGGGTCGATTCAGGTGGCCGTGGGTGGTGAACATTTCCTTCCTTTTTTCATAAAGGTCATTAAAGTTTTCAATTATATGTGAACATTTCCTTCCTTTTTTCTTCAAAAATATGGAAATACTGATTTGTAAAATTAAAATTATCTTTATATTCCTATTTGAATAGTAATGTCGATAATCTTTTCAATTATTATCACTTTTCGTAATTTAATTAATCGTAATCCTAAAAGTTAAAGATATTAATAAATATAAAATCTTAAACCTAACATTGCATGTATTAGTTTAGATAGAGAGAAACTAAATCTTCCATTTGTATCATTCAATGAAACTTAATCTTCCCGTTTTTTTGCTTGATTGATAAAGTGATTGAAGAGGAAATTATTTTGTTTGTCTTTCGTTCTAATGGGTATGACGTGGCACTATAAGAGGAATGTATTTGGGTTGGTTTTGGAACCCTCACATTAATCCTACTTTTAATGAATTATATAGATATATAAAGTTAAGTGAGAATTATAATGGATGAAACAATTGCTCTCACCAAAAGAATGTATAATTCTCCCTCTCTCTCTCCTTAAACGACGCCCCTTTCTCTACCGAGAATGATTGTTTTTCTTCCTCCCAACTAGCATTGATGGAGATTCTGCTCATGATTGTAGACCAATACTAGGAGAGCGATCCTTGGAGCTCTTTATCTCCACAAGAAGAGGAAGAAACACTTGGGAATATATGCATTAAAGGTTGTAATTTCTAACCTTGAATTTGATTCATAATATACATATGCATGCGATCCTATTTAGGAGTTATGAACGTGATTTTTAAAATTCCGCTAATTACACCTAAAACCCAACAATTTGTAAAGTGACAAATAAAAACAGTAAACATTCTATCAGCAAGTCTTTCAAGGCTCTATATGAGTCTAATAGACCAGCTTCTTAAAGGTGTTAATATAATCATGTGTATTTTGAGGATTGCTATGCTTCACTGTTGATTCTTTGCATCAAGAAAGTATACAAAGAATCTTAGTTATGAAGGATGGCATAGTTTGAGGCTATTACATATCTCTTCACTTATGCGGTAAATAAACTCCCAAATTATCCTTCACACTAGTGAAGCAGATTCCACTTTTAACACAGTATGCATTAGTTGGATCTACTAACAAAGGGTTTTAACTTCAATTCACCATATTAGCAAGTTAAAAGATGATATTGCTATGTTAAAATCGGGACTCTCTTGAGGTTAGTAAATGTACAGAAAACACCGCACATAATTTAACCACTGGATCTCTCATATAGAGAGTGGATCAACTATATCTTATGAGAATGATTTGAATGAGAAATGTACTAATTTAACTCAAATGTAGTAAATCTATAATATATAAGATAATTATGAGAAATTATCTT